CAAAAATTGCACATTTGTTTTGCCAGCCTACCGCACCTGACACCGACACGCCTGCACGTACTAAAGTGTCTTTGTACTTAGAGATGTTCCGCGACGCCTTGCCCTGCGATTCTTATATTTGCCTTACTCTTCTCGGCGAGTTTTCACGGGTTTTTTGCGCCCCGCGCATATTTTTTTCTTATTTTTGAACTTTTGGTGCCGTCTCTCTCCCTTCTCTAGGGACGGCTGTGCTGTGCTCTGCTCTCGTGCATCGCGCTTTGCATCCCAGGAGGCCTCGTGCCACCGCCGCGGAGCGTAGAGCGGGGTGGGGCGCGCACACCTGGGGTACTTCTTCTTTCACCTGCATCGTGTTTGCGAGCGTGATTTGTTACGAGTGTTTTGTCGGCGCGGAAGCAAGAAATGTAAACACACCGTTTATTTTTTTTAATATCCCTCTCTCTCTCCCTCTCCTCTCCTCTATCTCCCCCGTCCTCTCCTCTTTCTCTCTCTCGCTCTCCCTCCCAAGGTAGGCGCTGCACTGATTTATTTTACGACTGGTGTGATGGGCTCCGCCCGCCCCGCCCCGCCCCGCCTCATAACACAGAGCGAGAGAGGGCTTCCTAAACTGATTGACCGCCATTTTATTGGATGAATATTTTATCGGTTATGGCCGATTTGGAGCCTATAACGCGCTGTTAACTGGTGCCGGGTAGTTTATGTTACGAGGCGGCAGTGTCTTACAACACGCCGCTAACTGATTCGGATTGTGATGCCGTATTTCATCCCGTGTGCCGCGGACCGGGCCGGCCGCCGTCGGGATTAAGCGATGCCCACCTCACTGGCGCGGCCACCCGCCGCCTCCTGCATGAGCCTGTAGCGGCGCCGCAAATGAGTTGCAATGGGCGTGCGGCCCGGTGCGCTGTTTGTCGCCGTTTTCCTTCTTTCCCGCTCGTGAGAGTCGCGGCTGCGGCGGTGGCGGCGGCTCCGCCCTCCTCGCTTGTGTTTCAAATTGCCGCTGTTGTCGCCTGATCGCGCGGCTCGGGCGGCGCGGAGGCGTGTGACACAGACACAGATTGCCCCCCGGGAGGTGGCAGGTGCTTGTTAAACGAATGGGCCGCCGCATGAGCCGGCGCGGCGTGGCGTGGTGCTCTGGCTGTAATTTTATGGCTGCAGTGCGAAATGATTGACTGATGCGTCGTGGCGGGGCGGGGCAGAGTGCGCGCGGCTGTACACGACGGCGGCGGCGGGGTCGGGCGGGACCGTCGGGTGGCACATCGCAGACTTTGTCACGCCATATGGTTTAGAGAAAAGAAAGCAGAGGGTGCATGTTTATTTGATCCACAAAGCAATCTGCATAACCACTGTGTCTACTGCTGCAATGAAAAATATTTGTCGTCAAACTGCCGCTTTGTAAGTACAAGACTTCGTTACTGGGAGGGGAGGAGATTGATAGACTGTTGTCGCACTTCTCGCCCCCTTTGCTGGATGCTCCCCTTCCCGAGGGAGACGCGAGGTAAAACTCCGCCGCAAAACGCCCCGGTAACTCAATCACTTCATCACGCCCGGCTACGCACGCGGCGTGGCGCGGCGCGGCTGTGGAGGCGCCGCCGCGGTGAACGCAACAGGGACGGCGGCGGCGCGGCGCGTGAATTGAGACAAATCGCCCTCACGCTGCGCTCCGCCCCGCCACGCCCCGCCACGCCCCGCCCCGCCACGCCTGCAGTAGTCGAGTGGAGGGTTGTTGTGGATGTCGGTCGCGTGGCCACCACCACCTCCTCCTCCCTTTCGCCGACAGGCCGGCCGACAGTCGGCGCGCCCTAAGCTGTGCCCGTCCCGTCTGCAGCGTCCCCCGCGCGGGCCGCCCCGAGCCTAGGCCGCCCCGCCTGTAGCCCAGCCTGTGGAGCCGGCGGCGGCCGCCTGACAGATTGTGTTGTGACAGCCCCCGGCTCCGCCTGGTCTCCGCTCCCCAACCACCCCAACCCCAACCTGTTCGCCACGCCCGGCCCGGCCCGACCCCTTGACGCTGACGGATGCGTGTTGTGGCGCCGAGGCTGCGGCCCGACCCGACCTGCCCCACCGCAGGACTCCGCAGGACACCGCAGGACTCGCCACGACAGGCCTGTCGCTCCTGCTGCGGGGCGAGGCCAGCGCCCACACAACGACCGGTCCAGTCAGCTAATATTTCTGTTTCTGAAATTGAGCGTTGAAAACTGAGTCTTTAAAAATAGAGGTGCACATGTGTTCGGGCTTCGTTGCTTCGTTGCAAGGCTTCAGAAGAATACCCCGTTCTGCGTCTCTCTCACCTCCTGCCTATCTCTCTCCCCCGGGCTCGAGCCTGGGCCACTCCCCTCTCCGGCCTCTCTCCCGCCAGCTTCGCGCCCTCCTCCGTGCTCCTGGTCTCAGGGGACACTCCCCCTCCCCTTTCCCTACCTTCTCCCCTCACCTCCCTACCCCTTCTCTCCGATCGCAGCGGGTCGGTCTGCGCCCGGACGACGGCTTGCTGTGCTGTTTTCTCCCGAGGAACATTGAAGAGAGGAACGGATCAAGGCGCACCCCGATAAAGAAATAAAAATACACGATACATTTCTGTTTCTGTAATCTTTTGAGAAAGTCCGTCGCTGCGTCGAGTTGCTCACATGGTCTGACGGCGGGTCCTGCTAACGCCGCTGCCGCACTAACTAAGTGCGTGGCTAATGTGGCTGAACCACAATGTTCCTACCCACACCCACCACTACGCATAGCTCACCGCATGGCGCTCCGCACACCCCTCAGCCTCGGAGGGCGCGCCGTCCTCGCCGCGCCGATGCACTGCGCCGAGGAGGACCGTCTGTTTCCACTTGTGATTTTGATCTTGTCCACGTCCCAGCCCGCGCGCCCAACCCCTGCCCCTCCGCCCCCATCCCCCT